AGGTCTATCCTTTTGGACCTTAAAAGAAAAAAAGGAAAAAGAAAAATAAATAAATAAAATTTAAAAAAATGTCAAGGTCATAAAAGACAAAAAGACTTTTTCAGATTAAAGGAGTTTATAGAATCTTGAGAACTCATTGCAGTACATAATATTGGATGTTCTTTTGCCAAAGGAGATTATTGAGTCAAATGGAAAAATTGGAATAAGGTTAATAGATAATAGTATTACATCAGTGTAAATCTCCTGATTGTGATAAGTTTACTATCATTATGTAAGCAAATGTTCTTCTTTTTAGGAAATACACCGTGAAGTATTTAGAGAAAAAGATATTAAGTCTATAATTTACTCTCAGAAAATTTCTTTATTCATCTGTGTGTGTGTATATAGAGAGATAATTATAAAATAAATGTGGTAAAATGTTACATTTGGGGAATCTGAAAGGTATATGGAAATTCTTTGTACTATTCTTACAACTGTTTTGTAAGTCTGAAATGGTCAAAATAGAAAGTTAAAACATAGAAATTTATGTCAACAAAAGAAATCCCTCAGGTGTTCTCCACAGCTTTCAGGTTAATTTTAACTGTAGCTTATGCATTTGGGCCTTTTGTGCTTGGCTCCTGCCGTCTTCTGTCCTCATCTTGCAGCACACCTCTACACAAACCCTTTCTGATATCTTGCTTTGATTCATGCTATTTTATCTGCTTCAGAAGGCCCATGCCTTACTCCATCTCCTTATTTTTCTAAACCAGTGATTCTCAACTGGGAGCAATTTTGTCCCCCAGAAGATGTTTCCCAGTGTCTGGAGACATGTTTAGTTGTCACTGGGGGACTGCTACTGCCATCTAGTGGGTAGAGGCCAGAGATGCTGCTAAACATTCTACAACATTCTATTCTTTGTTGTCTCCCACAACAAAGAATTTTCTAGCCCAAAGTGCATATAGTAATGAAGTTGAGGAACCTTGTTGTAAATGTTTCTTGATAATGAATTCTGGGAAGTCTTTCTAAGCAGTCCCTAGTCTGATTTAGAACCATCTCTTCTGTGTTCCTCTTACTCGTGTTTACCTCCCTATCACTCATCTCATAGGAACTAGGATTTATTAGGATTCTTGATATATAGATGGCACTCAGTCAATGTTTATTAAATGAATATATACAGATTGTTTTATAGTAAGATTTTTAGCCAAACTTTTTAAATTCAAGTTTTAGGATTAAAGAGAAAAAACATTGTTCTTAATTCATCCTTCCCTTCTAGATTTCTGAGGTAATGCTAAGACAGGAAGGCAGCTTGGTCTTGGTAACAAACCAGGGACTCTAAAACCTCAGGACTCTTTCTGGCTCTCATCTGTGCTTTACTCGCTATGACTATTTCCATCTTTTCTTTCCCTCCATAGACCTGATTTCCATTTTCCTCAGTGTACGTGGCAGCCAGAGGAAGACCAACTCAACTTTCTTGGTGCCAAGCTCAAATTTTTAGGAATAGGATTCACTGGCCCCACTTGGGTTACATGCTCACCCTTGGCCTAAATCAGTTGTAGCTTAGGGTATGGTCTCATAGTACTGGTGAGGCAACTCCCACTGGAGCCATGTGCATAGAGAGGGAAAGGGGATATAATTCCTGGGATGTGGTTGCTGGGTGAACAATGCCAAGGGTATCTACCACAGCTCTCAATAATAAGAATATAAGAATGAAGACACTGTCTCATATAAGAATAGAGACACTGTGGGCTGATCTTGTTCTCTTACCACCATGCTCATTTTTCATTTCAGTAAGTTGCAACAAGGAGAATCACAAGGGGTTTTAATTCTGGGTTTTACAATTTCTTCATTACGTTTTTGATATCATCATTTGTCATGTATATGCTCATCCTAATCCATCACTGTTTTTAGGTTATTCAAGGCAATTATATCCTTTGCTTCTATTTTCTTCTATTATGTTGGCCTAGGAATAGAAGGTCAGAGGTCTGAGGATAGGTAAATATATGGTGGGTAGATTCCCCCTCCTTGCCCCATTTTATAGGAGAAAGCTAGGCCAAGGTGCTTTACAGTGACAGTTTCAGAGGGATTGTTAGTAAGCCTAAGGCCCTAAACTTTGGGCCCTAGAGATGGAGGACAAGTGTATAGAGAAATGGTGGTGAAGGAGGCCAGTGTAATTGTATCAGTATCACAGGGAGAAGGGGATATTATTGCTTCTATGTAAAATGAGTAAAGAAGGACAAGTGGTTCTAAAAGGAGCCTTGTGATTTCTTGTATCCATTATTCCTGTGCATTAATCAATATTTATGTCAGTTCAAAGAGACAGAAACTCAGCTCAAACTAGCTTAAACATAATAGGGAATTTACTGGCTCCTGTGACTGAGATGTTCAAAAGGCGATTGTGGCTTCGGGCATGGCTGAATCCAGGACCTCAAATTATTTCATCTGAATTCAGTCTGTCAGCTCTGCTTTCTTTTTTTTTTTTTTGAGACAGAGTCTCACTCTGTTGCCCGGGCTAGAGTGCCGTGGCATCAGCCTAGCTCACAGCAACCTCACATTCCTGGGCTCAAGCAATCCTTCTGCCTCAGCCTCCCGAATAGGTGGGACTACAGGCATGTGCCACCATGCCCGGCTAATTTTTTCTATGTATTTTTAGTTGTCCGATTAATTTCTTTGTATTTTTAGTAGAGACGGGGTCTCGCTCTTGCTCAGGCTGGTTTCGAACTCCTGGGCTCAAACAATCCACCTGCCTCGGCCTCCTAGAGGGCTAGGATTACAGGCATGAGCCACCGCGCCCAGCCAGCTCTGCTTTCTTATATAGTATCAGTTTCATTCTAGAAGCAGGCTCTCTTCGCTAATGGCAGAGATGGTTGCCAGCTACTGTGGGTTGTGAATACTACCAACTATGCAACCCCAGGGGAAAGAGCTCCCCAGAGAGCTCCAGTAGAAGTCCCAGGCATTGCTCTTTCAGTCCTGGCTTGGGTCACATGTCCACTAGGAACCAGAGTATGATTCCTAAAGGAAAATTGTAGTGCTGTTTACAGAAAATGGGATGCTAAGTAGGCAAAATAGTAGGTATCCTATACCCTGGTTGTTGGAAAGCTCCCAGTTAAAGCAACGTTTAAGCATACCAGCTGGACGTGATGTGTGCCTGTAGTCCCAGCTACTGGGGAAGCTGAAACAGGAGGATCATTTGAGCCCAGGCATTCTGGATTGTAGTGTGCTATGCTGACTAGGTATCTGCACTAAGTTCAGCATCAATATAGTGATTTCCTAGGAGCAGGGGACCACCAGGTTGCCTAAGGAGGGGTGAACCAGACCAGTGGAGCAGGTCAAGACTCCCATGGTGATCAGTAGCAGGATCATACCCAGGAATAGCCACTGTACTTCAGTTTAGGAAACTTATATAGGCTGCCCCAGATTACACAGCTAGTGAGTAGTAGAACAGGGAATGTGAACCCAGTTAGTTTAGTTTGGGTTTTTTTTTTTTTCTTTTTTTTAGAGATGGGGTCTCACTCTGTTGCCCAGGCTGGACTACAACTCCTAGGTTCAAATGATGCTCCCCGCCTTAGTCTCCTAAGTAGCTGGGAATACAGGCTCAAGCCACCACACCTGGCCAGTTGGTTTCAACTTTGTCCAGTGCTGTAAATTAGCTTGCACTTGACCTATCAAGGCCTCTCTGTACCCCATCCCACCATCTTTTAAAATTGGACAATCTGATTCTAAATTCCTGAGAACTATCTGATTGATTCAGCTCATCTTTTCTAGGACACCAAGGGCTGATACCTGGTCTGGGGATTGACTGCCCTCATATCAAATGCTCCCCATCCTTAATCCAATTAGCCTACCACTTGGATGCGCATGGTTTGAGGGTAGTTAGTCATTGTTTACTGACCTCATCTTTGGGTTTGACCTTTGGGAGCCCAAAGAAGGGGCATAGCAGCATTGCTGCTCTTTTGAGTCCTTGCTGTCCCGAACCTTTCTTCTTCTTTAGTCCCATCGCTACCACCTAAGTTCGCCATCTCTCTCCTGATTAGATGTCCTTCCCATCTCCAATCTTCCCCCTATTGACAGAGTAATTCTAAAAGGGAACTGCTATTACATCATTCTTTTTTTTAAGTATTTCAGTGGCTTCCCATAGCCTTCAGGATAAAAACTGAATTCCTTACATAAGACTTTCTATGGCCTGGCCCTCGCTTGCCTCTCCAGCCTTGTATTAGTATCTCGACAGTCCCTCCCTTACGCTACTCATGTTGGCCTTTCTCTGAACTACTTGCAACTTGCTGAATATATCAAATACCCTCTTACTTCTGGGCCTTTGGATGTGCTTTTTCATGTGCCTAAAAGCCTAATGCCCTATTCCCCTAACACCTAGCTAACTCCTGCTTATCCTGAAGGACTAATTTCTGGTGACGCCTAGTCCTGGAAGGCTTGTCAAAACCACCCTCTCGGCTGGGCGTGGTGGCTCACGCCTGTAATCCTAGTACTCTGGGAGGCCGAGGCGGGCAGATTGTTTGAGCTCAGGAGTTCGAAACCAGCCTGAGCAAGAGCGAGACCCCGTCTCTACTAAAAATAGAAA